AGGACGTCGAATGTCTCAGTACTCTGTCAGTTTTGTGCCTAGTTATTGCACTTTCTGACTGTATATAGTATCATGTTACAGTGATGGAGAGTTACTCTAAACTCGTATCCATATGTCCTTTTCTCTTTTACATTATTATTATTATTAACTGTTTTGAGGGAAAGAGACAAACGGGAAAAGTCTATTATTATTATAGAAGAACAAGTTTTCAGACCGTATGGTAATGATAACCAATGAGAGTAGCCGGAAAACAAAGGGGACTTTAGATACTGGGCTGACTTAACAAGAGGCATGATGAGCGCGTTACGGGTTGAGCTTGTCGAAAACCAATTGTACTTCATCATGTGTGAAGGGGTTTTACGAAGAAATATTTTATGAACCAGTGTACAGAGATGGTGCTTATGACGAACGGAGAGGGGAGAAGTGTGTGCAAGTCGATAAAGGGCATCCGAAGGAAAACATCGATCCTTGTTGTAAAGAATTTTAAGTATAAATCTATGGTGGACTTCTAATTGGTTCAGAGTTGTGTCAGAAAGGCCACACCAAGCGGTATCGCAATAGTCGAATATAGGGAGAATATAGCACTGATAAAATAATAGTTTACACTGGATGGGCAAATGAGTGCGATGTGGTTGTAGTGCCCCTAATGCTGAACTGGTTCGCTTGCACACACAGTTGACATGTGCAGCCCAAGAGAGTTTGCAGTCAAACATCTCACCTAGATGTTTGTGCTGAGTAACAACACGGATAGGCATAGTCGAGTCAGGGAAGTATAACGGTTGATCAGGAGGGGATGAAGAAATATACATGGCTTCTGTCTTGTCCAAATTGGGCTGGAGTTTCCACGTTTGCATCCCCATGCAGTGCTGTTGATGCGATGCTGCATGGTAAGGAGTAATTGTGCAGGGGAGGAATCAGAACAGATAAGGCCAGTGTCATCCGCATACAAACTAACATCGGGGACAACTGAAGGTAGGTCATTAACGTAAAGCAAGAATAACAAAGGACCCAGAATGGAACCTTGGGGCACTCCAGACGTTACAGGGAGGGGATCAGACAAGAAATAAGACAAGCGAACAGCCTGAGAACGAGCAGACAGATACGAGGATATCCAACGCAAGGCAGCATCCTCCACCCGGAAGGTGACCTCCAACTTGGCAAGTAAGCCACGATGCCAAACGGTGTCGAATGCCTTAGCCAAGTCGAAAAACACCATTCCCACATGCTCCCCACAGTTCCTCTTTGTCGCTATGTCTTGGACAATTCGAGTCACCTGGTATTGAGTTGAGTCACCACGGCAGAATCCCGACTGAGCTGGTGAGAGAGCCGGAGCGATGTGCAGGTAGAGGGAATCGAATACAATACGCTCACAAAGTTTGGAAACTGTGCGCAGCAGAGAGATGGGGCGGTAGTTTGCAGGGCAAGCACGGGAGCCTTTATTCTTGTAAAGCGGTGTCACGATGGAGGATTTCCAATCCTGTGGGAATGTACCAGTTCGAAATGACATATTAAAAATAATGGCGAGAGGATAGGCTATTGATGGTGCAAGATACTGCAGCACTTCATTCGGGATCCCATCTGAGCCGGGAGACTTTCCACATTTCAGGCGCTTCAGATATTTCCGAACTTGAAACGTAGTGACAGTGATTGTACGGAACGGAACAGATATGAAAGGCGACTGGGACAAAGGGGGAATGCGCCACGAAGGATCATCAGGTAGCCCAAATGAGGTGAACTGAGTGTTCAGAACATCAGCTATGCTCTTGGGGGACGTGGCGACCGTACCGTCGGATGCTATCATCGTTTGGGGCATGACACGGCCGGAAGTGTGCCGCTGTGCTCGCACAAACTGAAAGAGTGTAGGTCGATTCGGTGACGTTAGTGATGCTTGAATGGAGCGTATATATTCACGATGTGCTTGCCGAGACAGGTGCTTTACAGCATTCCTTTGTCGGTTATAAGCTGCATGATTTACTGCTGTCGGATATTTTTTGTACACACTATATAGATCACGCTTGCGTTTTACAGCAGACCTGAGCTCAGCAGTAACCCATGGTGGAGATTGCATGCTGCGTCGTGGAGATGTCACAGTGTGGGTGGCTCCGAATGAGGTGAGGTGACGACGGAAGGCGGACTGGAGCTCACAATCAAAGTGATGAAGTGCGTCATTAACATCAGTGTACGAGTTCAGAGAGGACCAGTTGTAGCCAGCTAAATCAGCGTTGATTAATTGCCAAAGGTGCGAAGGTACTTGTTTGAAGCGATACAGTGAAGAGGGAGGACCAGTGGAAGAGTTGGGGAAGTAGTTCGAAATAGGGGCGTAACATAAAGTGCAAACAATCTGTATATGGTCAGACATACCCAAGGGAGGTGCTTGATCAATTGAGCGCACGAGGCGTGGTCGGTTGGTGATCACCAAGTCCAGACACGAAACAGAGCCATTAGGCGAGGAATGAGTGGGGTAACGACAGCATATCTGACCATCATCAGCAACACACTGACAAAACCAAAACCAACTGCGAGTGGATACGTTCTCATGGATGAATGGGAACTGGTTGATCATGAGTACTGAAAATCCTAATCATAATTATAATTTTAGAATTGCGATCATCTAAGGCCTCTTTTACGGGCAAACAGAATACAATTGACAGCGGCATGGCGAATGATTAGAACACAACACCAAAAAATGAAAACAATTGTATGTGTGAAAAAACGCAAAAACGAGAAACAAAAAACACCAAAACACCAAAAACAAACAAAAAAACTTAGAATTGCGATCAACAGAACGAGTTGAACCGACATTTCACAAAGGCTTTTATTGTATTCAAAAAACGAGTGGATACGAAGGCAGTGAAGAACATGGAAGAATGAAAAAATGTGATATGGAGAAAATGATGAACAAAAAATCGTACTTCGAACTAGTTTTCGCACAACACTCCTCAGGAAGCTACGTTGTACTAATGAAAAACAATCCAGAAAGATACTAATAAAGAGAAATGGAGTGAGAAGAAACAACACCTATGAAAATGATAATCCTAGCACTAAGGTAATAACAGGAAAAACTGCGAAAGCACTTAACGAACTTTTAAAGACTACTAGTATACTGTGACACAAGATATGACACCATGGCCAACCAGGGCCAAACAGACAGAACAAGCTGCTACTAGAACAATTTCAAACGAATAATGCTGTCCTTCTGGACACACAGATTAGGCGTATGAATACGTTGACAAACAGCTTCTAACACACTCGACTCCACATTATAACCATGACGAGCACGGCACAAAACAGAAAAAGAAGAATCAGAATACACTTTGCAGCAATCAGGACGAGATACAAGATGCTTATACACTGATGACTTCCTACTGGTTATAAGTTGCATTTGAGAATAAATATGATGAAACTGAAATAGATACCTGTAAAGACCACAAGAGAGAGAGAGTTTGGAAGCTTTGTCACAACTCCGAGTTTCGCGTATCTCTACCATCATGAGGCAACTGATGGATCCAAAACGGGCAGCCAGAACATAAGGGGAAGCAAGGTGGGAAATTCCGAGGGGTGTCATAGGCGACGCGTATCATAGCGCAAGAGCCAGGTGCAGGCGTGAACAGTCGAGGGAATCCCTTGTTCAGGGAACATTCGGTTTTTACACGAAAACTCAGGCGTTGATATGGAGATTGACAAGTACGCACGGTCAAATCGCGCCGTGCGCCCGCCGTGCGCCCGCGGCCCGAAGAAGAGGAAGATGGATGCGCTGCGAAGGCGTCTGTTCTCATTGAAAGAGATGTGGCACAATTTCGATTTGCCTTGAAATATCAGTCCCTCTTTAGGTAACTTTGCGGAGGTAACCCCAAAAGTTCGGAGGTTGGACGGTGTTTTAGCCTGGCCTGTAGGGGTTTATGGAGGTTTTGCCCGAAAAAATTGAACTCTGCCATGTCGTTCTCGAGAGAGAATTGACGAGAAGAAGCCCGTTTTGCATTTTCAACATTTTGTCATCATGGGCAAGATATCCACGAAGAAGAGACACTCTGGAGGTTCTCAATACCAGTTTGCGTGCAAGAATCCCTTCCACGATGAGTGGGGATCGCCTCGGCATAGCTCCAAGGATGTTCGGGTTCGCAAGTGTATCCTGGCAGTGTTGTCAGCGCTCTCTGGACGGGACGTATCTGCAATTTGTAGGAGCTGCGGACGACTGGCTGACTTGAAGGATTTAATCACCAACCACCCTCTGTACGAGCCTCGGAGGGGCGATAGCTATGGGGACTCTGTAGACATGGTAGATGCCAGCGATGATGTTCCTCAGGCTCTCCCAGAGGTAAGCTCCTGCGATGATGAAGATGATTCTTTTCCCCCTGTCTTCAGCCAGTCCCGAGAAACCTCCTCAGCCTCAAACGAAGTACCGGTAGATAATGTTGAAAATGTTGATAATGTTGAAAATGTTGATTCTTTGAAGCGTTTAGAGAGAGTGTTGGTGGCAAAAAACTGTGCGTTGGCTGCATTGTCGAAGATGCATTTGCAGAAGGATAGCAAAATTGAATTACTTGAGAAGGAAATAATTAGTATGAAAAAGGAAAGTGTAGGTTCGCTTCTGAGCACCTCGGAAGGTCGCTTGGACTTGCTACGTAGGCTGTGTGTGGCTGAGCAGCCGCAGTTCAAAGCAGATGTGTTGAGTGCTGTTGAGACAGCAAAGTCAAGTAGATCATTGCAGAACTTGCTGTCCATCCCGACGGGTCAGTTCAGCAACAAACCCTACAACAAGTTTGTTGAGACGTTTGTGACGGGCATGACCTCCAGCACGTTTGCACTTGACTTCTCCGTTGCCGACCGCCGCACAGTTCTTCAAGCGCAAGCCATGGAGTCTCTCTATGCTGCTGCTAACTTGAATTACTGTGCAGAATTCCATGTTTTGCTCCAGGCGATAGTGTACAGCATCACCCAAAGCAAGACAACCCTCGACATTTTTGGTCACCTAGGGTCGGGGGGGGGAGTTATAAGCTTGTGAAAGATTGGTTGGCTGGGTTGGGTGGTAGCGAGCTGCAAGTTCCTGAAGGGTTCGTGAGTGTTGGGTTTGACAATGAGCAACGACAACTTAAGTCGTACCTCTCCCGTGGCAGCAATCGTTCCACGTATGAGGTTCTGACCAATGTTGTCTATGCCCGTCATTCCCATGTTCCTTCCCAAGAAAAGGGAGATTTCCATTTCCGAAATTGGAAATTTCCAACTGTCACTGAGATTCAATGTGCAATAGATCAGGTACCGGATCCTCTTGATCAAGAATCTTTGATTAAGCCACACTTGCTGAGTTTCATGAACAAAAGGATTGAAGCTCTTGTGTCTGAGCAGAGGCTATCAGCTGACCCAGTTGATAGCCATCTTGCATCATTGGAACGAGAAAGACGGTACCTGATCTGCCCTAAATGTTGCACACAGATGGAACGCAGGCTGCATTTGTGTCCCAATGCGACATGCAGGGTAAATGTTAGGCAGGCATTGCAAGCTGACCAAGGCAAATCAGTGGTGTCGACCGAGCACATCAAAGTCACCAAGCCAGGCACACTAAAGTCAGGCACCGAGTTTGTGTATGTACCGCATGTGGACAGCAGTACCGGTGTTTGGTTAACCAGAGTGTCCTCAAAGACCAGTGGTGAAGATGTGCCCCTTGTGTCCCCGGCAGATGTTGGGTTTCTAGAGCCCATTTTTGTCAACCATAACTCCCATGAAGCTGTTCGCATTGTATTGCGCGATGTTGTGAAGCGTGCAAGGGTAAAACAATGTGTAGGTGACGAGGGGGTGAGGGAATGGCTCACTGTTGTGTGTGACGGCTTGCCGTACTCCCTCATATTGACTGTGATGGAGGAGGCAAGGCGTGATGCAGCCAAATTGGCTAACCATGAAGCAGGAATATTGCATGTCGACTCAATGTCGAAGGCTGACCTGAAGAGTGCATGCAGTACAAGGGGCTTGGGTGTAACAGGGAACATGAGTACGTTACGTGAGAGGCTGAGGAAGTTTTTAGATGATCTGGTTGAGAAGGGTGAATTGATGCCCCCAACAAACATTCTTGATGGGGAGTTTGATTGGGTACTACCCATTTCACGTGGCTTGCACTGGGAGATGAACATCATCCAGTGCATTGTCAAGTCTCTGTGGCCATTTGCCTATAAGGAGTTCGCTATTAGCCAGGGATATACTTCTCCTAAGCAATTGGATTGGGCCTTCAAAGCCAAAGACCACCACCGCACATACGATGAGCTGAGCCGTTTCACGGATGGCTGCTTTGACGAACTTCTGCGGCCATATGTACTCGCCCAGGAATCTGGCAGCAACACCCCTTCAGCAGAGGGTTTCTTCGTTTGGTGCAAGCAGTTCAACAACAATTATACGTATTCCTGGCTGCTGGAGCTGTGCACTCAGTACTGCTTTCCACTATTCATGCTTCGGCGGGGAGCACGGCACAACGACGTACCACTGTTCATTGAGTCTCGCAGAGTTCTCTCTCCATTGCTGCATGCGAGGAATCACACAACATATCAAGTGATTGACATGTCCGAGGAAGTCCGTCGCCTCTCGCTCTCAACAGATTTGCGAAGTCTCATTGACAGCACTCTCTTCCTCAGCAGGTCAGGAAAGGGTGACCTCCACCAGGCACTTGATGCTATCGTCGAAGAGCTAAATGCCAATGTGAAGTCATGGGTGTCAGGGGAGAAAGACTCCAACATGTGGCGCCGGGTGATCCGTAACCATGAGCAGCTCATGAAGCTCCGCTCCAAAGTATTCAGTGCCCTACAGCTGCCAGATCCAAAGTCGGAATCGAGAGCCCGTCCTGGTTATGCTAAGGAACTTCTGGTATGGCGTGCGCGTCTGAGAACAATGTTGGTTCCCAATGGTGAGCTAGCGTTTTCAAGACCACTGCAATCCTTCAGTCCTGGTGAGGAATTGGTTCCGGATGCTGTGAACCTCACTGCTGTGGGTAAAGCCAGACGGAAGCAGCTAGCGACATTATTTGGAGATGGTGCCTATCCGCTGTCCAGGCAGTCTCAGCCACCACACTTTCTGACCACCGAAGAGGCCGAGAAACACGGGAGTGATACGAGACGGACTATGGCTTCCCTCAGGAAAGAATTCCAGCAGCTACTACATCTCGCGCCCGACAACAATGCTGCCTCTGCATTGTGCTATGAACTGGAGCAGGCTTCCACCCAGCCAGCAGTGTTGAAGGTCGTGCGCCAGATGCGGGATATGGTTTCGTGCATGGCTGACGGCGGCAATGCAGCTGATGATATGCCTCCATGAGTGGTGAGTGCTTTGTGCCTTGCATTTCTTTCGCCACTTTCATCCATTGGTGTGCGGTTTATGTGCTTTTGTCTCTTCAAGGTACATTCGGACACACTCATATTGACTTTTCTGTGCAAAAAAATTATTTCAGTTAGTAGACATGTGTGTCTTTATGTGTCTTGTACAATGTTCCAACATGCAAAGAAAAGATGTTTGCCTCGCTCGAATGCAGTCCGATTGTGTCCATAGTATGCATGGATGAGCAGTATTTTGCTCAAGTAGCTTTCTGTGTTGTTCTTGTGTGTGCACTTTCCTTGCAGTGACTGCTTCACAGTCGGTGTACTCGCCAAGGGAGGGCTGGTCCTGGCTTCCGTAGTTCTTCAATGTGCATTTTGCGTCATGCCACACACTTTGCATTGTCAAGTGCGAGCGCTACACTTCTTATTCACACCATGTCTTCTCCATTTATATACTTTCCACTTCATTGAGCAGCTGGCTCAAGCAGTGGGAGACTCCAGTGCAGAGACGCTGTACCTCGAACAAGGGTCGTGGCTACCTCGCCGTGGTCTTATCCGTTACTCCTATGTCGCCGTTGGGGATATACACCCGGTTTTTTCCCTCACTACTGCGTCCGTCAGCGCGAGGGTTTTTTCCCGGCTGGCTCGGTCCAGGAAAATTAATCTGACGGCCCCAAGTGGTTCTGCATCATGGCCCGGCTATCACGATGATCACGGCTATTTCCTCTATTTCCATTTGAGACACTGAGGTGCATGTACATGTGGTACAAACCAGTGCTCCTATTCATAGTGGTTCAGTGTGATGTTTGTTGACTACTAGCATTGTTCTGTTGTCCAGAAAGGGTCAATTTCTGATGACGCATACATTATTATTTCAATGTTGACATTCTGAGGTGAATTGATACCAGACTATGGTGTTTGCACACAACAAGTATCCAACAGGTGATGTTTGAAGGACCAGCAGTCCAAATTTTATTTTCATTCTTCAGTGGGGCTCGTGGTGGAATCTGGGGTGTTCATCGCGGTGGGATATGAACTGCTTCTTGCAGAGCATGCCACTGGGTCAGCTCTTGCTTTTGTGACACTTGAGCTGGTTGAGGGCAAAATCTCGTCCACAGGATGCGAGCTGTACGTGTGTCGAACTCCAGAAGGAGCGACCACCACGACCAAAACCTTGGCTCCACTTCCAACATGCAACTCTGCGGCCTGCAGAACACAAATGAAGCGAAGTCTTCATGACAAATTGCGCAAGTTCAGAATTGCTATGTGCATTCAACTTACCTTTTTTAGGAGTCCATTCTTCCGTTTTGAAAGGAAATTTCTTCTCCTGCTGTCACTTGAAATGAGGCCAGTGACTACATTTTTTCGACTTTTCTTCTCCTGAGCCATTGGGTGTTGAACACTGCGAAGAAGCTTGAAAAATCACCAAGGATCACTCGAGAAAGAAGAAAAGGCTTTCGACTTTTTTGGAATTTGGCGCACGGACCGTCGAGCGCGAAGAAAATATTCACCAAAACAGCGTCGTCATCTTTTTTCCGGTGCGGTCTGCCGAGGTAAAAAGGGCCGAGGCCGGCAAGGCGGCTACGCGGGCCTACGCGCAGCTACGGATCACCATGACCACCTTGGCGACCAGACAATGTCAAGTGTTCCCTAAACAAGGGATACCCAGGACTGGTGAAGTTGCCAAGTCTTCAGACTTCAGGCTATGCAGCAGTAGCTCCGGCATGAATGATATAGAATAGAGCTGGGGGCAAATGCCAAATCCACACATGCCCACACCACAACACAAACATACACCCACACTCTGTAAAGACCTACACACTTTCGAATCCGCCCACCTCATGTAAAGATGACCAGGTGAAAAATACAACGTTCATACCCACAGAAGAAACACTAATCTTGTTGAGTGAAGACCACCGATTACAAAAAAGTTGATGAAAACAAGAAAAGAGATATGGAAATGGTCAATGCCTTAGCAACACTAAAACAGGAAACAGTTGAGTATGCTGAATAGATAACACGAGAGCAAGAAGATGGGAAATATATTGTTGATGATGAGATGGAAAATGGGTATGAGTTGCCCATTTTAGGATTGTGAAATGTCTTTTCAGAAAGTTGGTCCAAAGTTGGTCCAAAGTTAGCTTATTAATATCCAAATCCTCATCCAAAGCTGGATCTCCTGAAGTTGACTCAGGAACCGATCCCAATCAGTCCTCGAAGTGAATCAAGATCGGGTTTGAGAGCCCTCAGATCCTCTAATATAGATTAAATCGGGGTAAGTGAAAAAAGCTCAAGTTGGCTCACTTCCGATTTCGGTCTCATTTCTTGGAGGGAGCAAGTTGGCTCACTTTTCTGGAATTGGGGTGAGCCAACTTTAGAGATTGGGAAAATCAGTAGTTGGAGGGTCTATCCTTCAATACAGTAGTATAGGGGAGGGTAGGGACTTGAGAGATTGACCGGATAGGGCCAATCGAAAAAGTTGATTTTGGCTCACCCTCAGGTGAGCCAGAACCCCCTCCCCTATACTGCTTTACCTGCTGTCGGGGGTGTGTTTATCAACACGTACGAAAGCGACATCCCACTTCTCCTGGACGGTGGGGCAGTGATCCAGTCGAGAGAGGGTACTTGTCAAGGCGACCCATTAAGGATGGCCTTTTATGCTTTGGCCTTGATTCCTTTCTTTTGGCATTGGCAGGAGGTCTGCCACTCTCCGGGACAAATGTGGTACGCCAATGATGAGGCTGCTGCAGACAAGGTGCCGACATTGCTGTCGTACTGGCATGTGATATCCGATGTTGGTCCAAAGTATGGGTATTATCCTAACCCGCAGAAGACCGTTCTCCTGGAAAAGCCCAATCTAGCTCTTCGTGCCGGGAGTGGTGTTTTATTATTATTATTATTATTTTATTTTTTTAATAACGAAGGTACGTGTTGGGTCGTAAGTGTTGTGTATAGTGTTTGTCGCCGTATTGTCCCTCTCCGTACTGTCTCTCTCTGAGCTATAATTATGCATGCTCGTTGTAAATAAATCAGTCTTTGTCTTGTCCCACAATGGACTCCTGCTTGGCATCAGGCTAACACAACATGGTGGCAGCTGTGGTTTCTACGACTGTAGGAAAGAACCCTTCGCCTCTAGCCCGCAGTCGAGCATCCCCAGCTCCGGGACAGTCTCGTCATCGTCGTCGTCATGCGTCGTCGTCGTCAGTCTGAGAAGTTTGGTTTTTAGTCCAGTCATGCCCGGCACGCACTACGCTCTACTCGTTTCGTCCTACTCGTGGACTCTACTCTTCAGCAGCAGTCACGCCACTGCTCCTTGTCTCTGCTGACTGTCGTCCCTGTCCAGCCAGTTCGTCGTCCTCGCATGCTCAATCTCTCGGCAGCTCCGATAATCCTGCTGTTGAGCACTGATCGCCATGTCCCCATGCCGTGCTCAACCCATCCGTCCGGGAGAGATAGAGGTGTCACGGTATGAGCGCTCCGGACCGACCAAGTCTGACTCGTGACGGAAGGAACTGCCAGGCGTATGCCGATTAGCTGTAGCTCATTCCCTCCTTGTGTTTCATTTGTTTTCGTTTTGACCTTGTGTGCTTCTTTATTCTTTCTCTTCACTCTCGATCTTCTCATTTTTGTGCCTCGAACTTCTTCAGTTTTAAAAAAAATTCTCTTCTGTGCAGATGCCAGGCATGCCCTGCTACTAACAGTACTGTACTGGTGTACGTGTAGGCCCTAGCTCGTCTCTCAATCTTGTTTTTTTATGTTCCTCTTTCTTCCCGGAAAAGGGATATATTGTGTAGATACATCTTTTCTCTCTCTTTCCCTCCTTTCCCGGAAAGGGAGATGTTGTGTATAGTGTTTTTCGCCGTATTGTCCCTCTCCATACTGTCTCTCTCTGAGCTATAATTATGCATGCTCGTTGTAAATAAATCAGTCTTTGTCTTGTCCCACAATGGACTCCTGCGTGGCATCAGGCTAACACAACAGTAGGTATCCACGCAAACACACATCCAGTCAAAATAAGGCACTTGTCAAATTATCCGAACGTTTTTGGTCCCTTCTCATCAAGGATTTTACAGGGAATGGCTCAAGTTGGAAAGACTAAAACTTATATAGCGTAAAGATATGAGATAACAACACTCGTGACAAGGTGGAAAATTATCAAGTTCAGCACGACACAAAACTTGAAGGAAATAATAATAGTGACAAGAACATAGTGAGCAAATTAAGTCGCATTGTTAACACCTCGACGAGGAGTAACACCAAACAATTGTAGCGACAACACATTTTCTATCTGTACGCAAAGTTCAGGATCTAACTTACGGATATACAAAGCTTCTAACACAGCCAGATGCAACGCACATCTATCACGTGACAATATTGAGGACACATTATCACTGTACATTTCACGACAATTGGTACGGGCTGACAGATGTTGCTTGATTGACGAAGTGCGATTTTTAGCTCCGTTGGGTGTTGTCTCCTCCTGTCTGCTGATGTTGAAGTGCAGAGCGACGCAGCCTCATCGCTCAGGAGTGCGGAGAAAGTCATCTGAGTTCAAGCTGTGTGCACGATATGACAGACTTTCACATTATGCACGCAGCCACCAAAGTAAAACTCATGGACACTATCCACGGGCTTCTTTACTAGTACTACAGCATCAGCTCTCTCTTCACTGTCGTCGGCGACTTGCCCCTGCGTTGCAGACGAGCACGCATGGTGTGGCACTCACTCTGGGAAACACAAGTTAATCACTCCTCCACTCGGACGCATGACATGTTGGGCATGATGAAGGTACACTCGAAGAAGCGGTGCCCTTCTTAGTTCTAGGAGCATCAGGGTTCTGCTTAGAGAAGCGTTCTCTACATCGACAGAGGAGAGAAGGTAGTGAAAATAAAAATAAGTTTCAATCTACAGTAATCCGAAATATCCACTGAATGCGGAAAACTTACCGCTCCAATAACTCCTTCTTTTTCCAGACAGATTCGCACCCTCATTCAGCAGAAAACTGTTCAGTTCCTTCACAGACCATTCTTTATTTGATAGCTCGTCCACGGGTTCCACAGCCATCAATGGCAAACAACTCGACCACATTCCTGGCTCGAGGAGTACTGTGACATTCCATATTTCGAAAACGCCTCGCCATGGTGTCGCAGTATTATTATCTGTGTCCGGTGCTAGTCGTTTTTAATTGACTGTCACCATTTTCTCCCTTCATGTCTCCGACTTGAAGGGCACCTGTACATATGGTGTATTCTCGATACGTAGAGACATTTTTACTGTATATCAGGCACTCTGCGAGATGCATGTTCCTTCACTCCACATGCGCGCTTCTCCTTCGCGCATAATGCTTGGCTACGCCCTTGCCTTGGTTGAGGTGGTGGATCACTTTAAAAGTCACACTGTCACATTCGAAGCCGAAGCTCCGAAGTGTAATCGTAGATTCCGCTAGGACCCGCAGGGTCCGACGTGGAATCGGGGTTACACGAGGAGTGAAGGCGAAGAATGTGACAGTGTGTTCCCGCCCATTGTGCTGGTGTCACCCACCCCTCACTGTCACTACTCTTGATTGCACTATCATTTTGGTCTCTCAGAAAGGGCCAAAGAAAGCAAGAGGTGCTAGGTGCAATCAAGGCGTGCATTTTCATTTTTATCTTTAAACCGCTGGAAATTTATGGAAAACTAGAGCGATTTGACTTGAGGCGCCTGAACGTGAAGTGTCCGGAATTGAGGAAGGCGTTCTCACTAGCCCAGCTTCACAGTCGATCAATTCATTACAGTATAGTGCTTGCAGGATAGAGCTCCACAGCCTTGGCTGTGCCACCTCGATATATGGTCTGGTGATTCAATTGACAAGTCTCGATTACTGGGTCTGTCACTTTTCAGTCGGGGATGGCCAGCCAGTCACCTCACAGGTGCCATCGCTGCCCTACGAGATCCCGTCAGTTCAGGACCCATGCACAGCAGCCACCCATAACCAC